GCATTCAGCACTCCATCAGTTGTTGCAAATATATATTTCTTCTCATTATTATTATTTTATTCAAATATTGTCTAATTGTGTCTTATTTACTATTAAGCCTTTTCAAACTAAACTTGCTTACACTACCATCTTAAATAATATTTCTGATGAAAAATATTTTGTATTATATTAAAATAAAGACAAATTTAATTAGCCTATTCTACTTACGTTTGTATGTGAAGTCGAAATCAACCACAACTTTGCTTTAAAATGCGTCGCAAGATCTCCTAATTGAAGATCACGTGATCACAAACATAAATCACTTCCGTGAAGTGACCATCGCATGTTCCCTTCACTAACGGACTTCTGGAAGGGCCCTTCGCGAAGGGATTCAGGTGTTCACTTTTGTTTGGAACGTCCCTACAAATGGCATCCCCTTCCTGAAGTGCCCTCCAAGGGCGCAATAAAGCCGTTTGGAATTCGCCCCAGGGGTCCCAATTCCAAGTCTGGGAGTCCCTGAGTTCCTGCTACTGTTGCCTGCGCTTCCTGTGATGGCAGCTGCCATCTTGTATATATAGGCTGCACACTGCTCTCCAGTCCATGAGTCTGCTCCAGAGCCTGCTCAAGCTCCAGAGCTCAGTCCTGTGTTGGCGCCAGCCTGTGAGTTCCCTCCCTGTCCTGTCTCGACCACAGAAGTCATTCTTGATCTTCCTGCCTGTCCTGTTTTGACCACAGTGGTCACATGTGAATCCTCTGCCAGTCATGTCACGGCTAAAGAGGCCATCTCTGATCTCTCATCCTGTCTGGTTATGGCCAAGGAGGTTGTCCCTGAACCCCTTGCCTGTCTTGTCAAAGAGGCCATTCTTGAACTTCCTGTCTGTTCTGTTATGGCATCAGAAACCATTACTAACCTATCTGTGTTCTCTTTGTCAGTTCCACCTGATCCTCTGTGGTGGCCATCGGTTTTGCTGTGGTGGTCTTCTGCTCCACCTGCTCCGCCCTGGTGGTCTTAGGCTCCGCCTGCTCCACCCCTGTTCTCTGGCTCTACCCTCTTTCCCTGATTCTTCATGGTTGCTCCTCGGTCCAGGCCCACCATTGCTCTACGGCCCAAGCCATGATCCAGGTCCTGTTTAGCTTCGTGGGCCTGGCCCTCCATCCCTCCCCCTTGTCTGCCTCCACTCCACCACCCTTCTGGACTTTTTGTGGGTGGGTATCTGATCTGGGAGAAAAAGAAAAAAGACAGCGAAAAAGAATTTTGTCAAGCAGCTAAACAGGCCTATTCTCCATGGCAGCCCCCTTTCCTTCACGGGCAACTATAGAAATTAGCCCTTGCCTTCTCTGCGCTCTCACACTTGGCTACACACGCTTGCATGGACACAAGGAAAAGTAGAAAAAAAACTCTTTTCTTTCTGTCAGCATTCCTGGCCAACAATGGCTAGATTAGGCAACGTGAGGGCCCCCCTTGGGGGGGGGGGGGGGGGATTGTCGGGTGTGTTGTTGGTCATGTGACTCCCTTACCCCATCTTGTGATTGTGTCATGTTGTTCCTTTGCTATATGTGTCAAGTTATCATTGGTTCATAGTCCTGTCATGTGGTTTTCTGTTCTGTTTGTCTTTTGGTTTCTGTTCATTAGTTATGTCTCATCATTGTTTGCTTTCTACCATGTGTTTCCCATAGTTTTGTATCTAAACCCTCTTGTTTGCTACATTAGTTTGCTGTGTATTAGATGTATGCAACCCCACTGTCGGTGAGTGTTTTTTGGTTAAGTCTGTTCTTGCTCATGGTCAGTTCTGCTCATGTTTGAGTCAAGTCTTTGTTTTGTATTTGTTCACAATGTATTAAATAAACAGCACATGGGTTCTTAAACTTGCCGTTCTGCGGACATTTGTTACAACATCACTAATTCCCTGGAAACAGGGCTTCTCTCTCTCTTGCTCAATTTCCAGGATATTATATACAATATCATTATGTGAGAAATTCCTGGACCTTACAGAACACCCTTTGTGTTTATACATTAAAAAAACATGATTTATGTCCTCACAGTGTCAAGAATTTTAGCCTTTACTGTCCTTGTAGGGATTAACACAATTGCTTTATTGGACAATCACTAGTATTCCAGTATCACAGTGTGATATCATTGTGATGTCACACAATGATACACCTTGCACTTCTGCACTTTGCTGTATCCAGTAAAACAATCTTATGTATCTAGCCTGATGCATTGTTTTAGTGCAGCTGAATGCATGAAAAATGTGTGTTACTGTTGAAAACAATATTACAGTGTAATACAGTTACAACATGGATTTCTTACATAGATGCTATAATTGATGGGTTACTTTCTGGGTATACTGTAGTGCTGTAATTTCTGTGTAACATCACATAACATTTCAATGAAACAGGTTGTCGGATTATTATATATATATATGAATTGTTTATATGTGACCCTGGACCACAAAACCAGTCATAAGGGTCAATTTTTCGAAATATTCAAATGATGAATAAATAAGCTTTCCATTTATGTATGGTTTGTTAGGATAGGACAATATTTGGCAGAGATACAACTATTTGAAAATTTGGAATCTGAGGGTGCAAAAACAAAATCTAAATATTGACATAAAGTTGTCCAAATGAAGGTCTTAGCAATGCATATTACTAATCAAAAATTTCGTTTTTATATATTTACAGTAGGACATTTACAAAATATTTTCATGGAACATGATCTTTATTTAATATCCTAATGATTTTTGGCATAAAAGAAAAATCAATACTTTTGACGCATACAATGTATTTTTGGCTATTGCTACAAATATACCCCATCGACTTAAGACTGGTTTTATGCTCCAGGGTCACATATGATCTTAGTTCCAGTTTTTTTATGAAACTCATTTTGTGAACTTTGTGTGTTTAGAAATATAGTAGGGAAATTAGTGTGTTTTTTGTAAATACATGGCAGCACAGACTATATCCTGATCACTTGTAGACAGTGCCTTAACACTGAGCCCAAGAACGGGACTTTATTTATCCTATTCTACCACACAAGAACATTTTTGATATTGGCTATTTGCAAAATTATGCAGCTCCTGGTCTTTCATTAACATATAATGTAATGATGGCTCCAGAAAAACAAATATCCTTAATATCCTGGAATGACAAAAAAATACATTTCCCCCTTTCTCAATATGTTCCAATGGCATAGACTGAATTGACTGAAGAGACTCATGCTACTTCTGATAAGCTTCATAGGTAAAATGCTAAAACAAGTTATTCTTGAGTTCCATTTAATATCCACAAGATCCAACATGAGAAAAAAAAGTGATAACCTCCTACCAGCCACCTTCACTTTCTTCCTGCTCTTGAATCAGGAAGTGAACGTGTATCAGCACACATGAGGGCGAGGCCTTTTTTCACACACCTGAGTCAGCCACACCACAGCAATGTTCGCGCTGACTCACCATAATACATGAGGCCACCCTCCTCACTGCAAACTAGGCTTTTTACTCCCACTGCTCACCTTTTTCATCTTGAGAAGAGCAATACTATACATTTATCAAAACATAAACATATATTATATAGTATTTTGTTTCTGCTTAATATTAGGTGTCTTTAGTATATAGCCTATTTGTATTGTATTACAAAACACTTTTGCTGCTATTGCGATGGGATACAGGTAAGGATAGGAACAGGCTTCATGGTGTAGTTAGGTTTAAAGCTGGGTTAAGGTGTACATGCAATTACATGCAGTTGTATTTATACAATTTAGGGTACATTTCACGTCAGGAAAAAATTGCAAAAACAAAATGCTTTCTCAATAGACAACTATTGGATTCAGTTTATACATTTTATCAGTATAACTTGTCTTATAGTTGCCAAGCCTAATCATTAAATTATATTTTGATATTACAGGGGGAAAAAAAGAGTGTCCGGAACAACTATGTTCCGGACAAGCTGTATGAAATGACAGGTAACATAGTTGACAATTTCACCATTTTGACTCATTTCAGTGGAAGGCCTTGTCTAGCCAACCAAACATTATTTTCTTAAGCAGGTTAAGCAATTTATTTGAATTAAAATCATAAGGAAATTGCAAACTATAATAATGTACCCAACATAGTTCACAGGATATTAATATACTCCTTGGAAATAAGTCGTTGTAGCTCAAACATCAGGAAAAAACACTATAATGTGTTCATTAATGTCCGCCACAGAAGAAAATTCCATCACATGACACTGGTCACAGTTTTATGATAAACCATTTTTTAGTTTGTAGGGGGATATTTGGTTAACACATTTCAATTTAAACTCTGTCTATGTTTGATTGTAGAAAGAAACTTGAAACTTAATCTAGATAATCTTGACCTTAACATTTTTTATTCATTATTTTGAACTCAAGACTCAATTAAACAATTGGCCAGTGCAAAAACTGTAATTTAAGAGACATAAAGACATTTCAAGCCAATTGAAGAACCGAGTGCATAAAATTTGTGTAGTACTCTCTTAATTAATAAAATGCATATCTGAAGGAAATTGTTAAAAATATACATAATTCCATCAATGACATGAAATGTACCTTAAATTATAGAATGTATAGAATATAGAATAGTATACATATTACTAAATATGAATATAAGTAAACATAAAACATATTTTACACAGTAAGTTAATTGCATCAATTAATAATTTATTACTTAGTACATAGTAGTTAAAAGCACTTAATATAACGTTGGTCCAGTAAGTGAACACATGAATAATTTTATTTAGATCAGTGCAAATAGTTCACTAACAAGTACAATACAAAATTACTACACATGTACTTACAGCAATACTAAAATTGCAGCACACATAAACAAACTGATCTCTGTAACTCCTTGAGATTCACCAGAACTGTGGTTTTCTCTGAAGTGGATTATGCAAAGGTGTCTGGCATGTTAATGCTGGCTGCACAGACGCAGATAGAGAGGAAGTGTGGGAGACAGTGACAAGGGTGTGTTCTTCATAGCACCACCCGTCATTGCTCAGAGTGTGTCACCAAGTACTTTAGTCTGAGCATATAAAAGAGGCGAGGTACATCTCTAGAGGGTTCAGAAAATTACAAAGACTGGAAGGGAATCAAAGCATTGTAAGAACCATACCGGTTAAGAGGCAACAAACAGGTATACAGTACTTCCCTTTGTCTAGCACATGACACAGAACTGAACATGTGGACTTTGTTACTTGTAGTATTTGGTACTGGATCACCAGCTCTACTTCAGGCAGCCCCGGTTCAGGGTGAGTGATGGGGAATGTGTTACTTATTTATCTCAGAGGTGTCTTTGGTGGCGGGTGGCTCACATACTTAGTCTTGGTCAAGACGCATTTACAATTGCAAGATGAGGTCATACTTGCGATACTGATATGACTGTAGTAGTGAGACTGTAACCCTTTTTGCTTTTCACAACAAAGGCTATGGTTAAACCCCATCATTAATCTGACTTCTGCTGTTATCTGGGAGACTTTAAAGACGTCAACCATAGAAGAAAAGAAAAAAGTTCCCACACGTTTCCACTAGTAATCAGTGCAAATGCTACAAGTGAATTTATGCATCACGTCATTGTAAAGTACAATATGAAAATGTATATTTAAATTGAGATTTGCTAAAAATTGCATTTAACAGAGCTATTAAATTATTCGTCTTATTAAAGATTAACTTTATGTGGCTCTTAGATGACAGCAAAAGTGGAATCAGCTGAATGTGAATAAAGTTTTTTGCAGGCTATCTTCTCTTTTCTCGTTTACGTTTAGTGCATTGATGATGACCTTTGTAGATAAATTTCATATGTTATGGTTTAAGATAAAGGCCTGAGGCTGTATTACATAAACTTTATATCTTTATGAACGAAATTAAGATCTGACAGGTTTTAACTGATATCAGTATGGCTACAGATAAGATAGCATGCCAGAGTAATGATCTTTCTGTAATACAGCCCATGGATTGTTAAATTTATTGTACATATAATTTTTTCTCTCTCTCAAGAGTTATTTATTCTCCTATGCCTCCTATCTCAGACTTTAACTTCAGTGCAAATATGATTTTCTTAGTATTTTTTGTCTTGTTTTCCAGTAAAAATATCTAATATTTCTTAAAGCATTATACAATGACGCAAGATATTAATTAAAACTAATTGATTATTGCATATTTTTCTTGCTTTAAGCATAATTTGCTTCTTTAGTACTGTATTTGTAATTTCTATTCTCATTAAACTCACTTATTCCCTCTTCTGCGCACTATTTATCACTTGTTCCACTAATTGATGTCCTTAAAACCATATGCTGGTCTAAACGTGTTATTTTGAGACAAAAAAACGAGAGGTCATTTACGAAGTCAGTGGATTACAGATGGCCTAGATGTGTTACAGATGTGATCACGTCTGCACATGCAATGAATCATTAAGAGATTTATCTAATGATACCTAATGCTAAATTGCTAATCCGTCACACACACATCTGGCCCTCATTTACAAACTAATCATTAGTGTGATTGTACACGGGAAACAATTAATAAATAAATTAAGATTTCTGACTTTGAATATTCACATTAGTTTCTCTTTTGACAGGTTCTAGTGGCAAATGCAGCTTTGCCGGTGTTTTCCTTGTTGAGGGAACCAGCCGTTACTCTCTAACTTTCCAACAGGCTTTGGAATTGTGTCAGAGTTTAGGTTACAAACTCGCAACACAGGAACAGGTCAATGAGGCTTATAAAAAAGGCTTGAGAACATGCAGGTAAAGAAAGCAAGCTGATTACAATAGACTTAGCCTAGAGCTAAATAACATGTTTAGACATAAATGCACTTCTTTTGATATTACCTAATGGCAGTACTTAATTTTTAAATTAATCCCACTCCTTTGTTTAGATACGGCTGGATAGATGGACAAAATGTCATGTTCCTCCCACACGTTAATGGTCCAAATTGTGACTCCAGTTCCACTGAGATCACCTTCCGTCCCGAAGCAGCAGATTATCTTTCTGATGTCTACTGCTTTAACCCATCAGGTGAGAGTATAAAGAAACTGGGGTATCTTACTGGCAAACACTATAAAAACAAACATGCTCCAAACAGGTTTTGTCTTATTGACTTTTTATTTCCCTCCTACAAAGATGCATCACTGAACTGTGATGATAATGGTAAATCTAACTCTGAGGGCTTTACCAATGGAAACACAGCCACATCAAGTAAGTTCCTATTGTTCCCTGCAGTACCTAGAATTAGATTTTGATATCATTGCAGACTTTTTGTCTTAAACGGCTTAGACTATCGGTGCATTAACTTTACCTTTTGAGTTGAGGGGTGTGTATTGTGAAGAAGCAAGACATGCAGCAGACATACACATCATTGTTCATTATCCAACCACACCTATTCCAAAGCATTAGTCATATCTCTGTGACCTCACGCATTTTTACGCACCTGCAGTACCACAATGAAGGACGAACAAAAGAGTTGCTGATTGTATTTGAATACTCAGGAAGTGATTTCTTCATTATTGTTTCTCGTTTAACCATTCACTCTGTACCAACATAGCAAAGTATCTGTGTGGTTTAAACTCGACATTCCACTCTTTTATTTTGCTTTGGTATCAGCACAGAAATGCAAAACACTGATGTATCATTAACGTATTTAAGCTTTTTGGCAGTAATCCTTTATCTGTTTTCTCACAAAGATGAAAAAACAGATGAAGACATCCTTACGGAGGTCGAAACTGAAGGCTTTCTAGTAGATTTGGAAGAGATCATGGGAAGAGTAAGAAGAGAAACTTCTTTTCTGAAACCTTTAACCCATCAGGTGAGAGTATAAAGAAACTGGGGTATCTTACTGGCAAACACTATAAAAACAAACATGCTCCAAACAGGTTTTGTCTTATTGACTTTTTATTTCCCTCCTACAAAGATGCATCACTGAACTGTGATGATAATGGTAAATCTAACTCTGAGGGCTTTACCAATGGAAACACAGCCACATCAAGTAAGTTCCTATTGTTCCCTGCAGTACCTAGAATTAGATTTTGATATCATTGCAGACTTTTTGTCTTAAACGGCTTAGACTATCGGTGCATTAACTTTACCTTTTGAGTTGAGGGGTGTGTATTGTGAAGAAGCAAGACATGCAGCAGACATACACATCATTGTTCATTATCCAACCACACCTATTCCAAAGCATTAGTCATATCTCTGTGACCTCACGCATTTTTACGCACCTGCAGTACCACAATGAAGGACGAACAAAAGAGTTGCTGATTGTATTTGAATACTCAGGAAGTGATTTCTTCATTATTGTTTCTCGTTTAACCATTCACTCTGTACCAACATAGCAAAGTATCTGTGTGGTTTAAACTCGACATTCCACTCTTTAATTTTGCTTTGGTATCAGCACAGAAATGCAAAACACTGATGTATCATTAACGTATTTAATCTTTTTGGCAGTAATCCTTTATCTGTTTTCTCACAAAGATGAAAAAACAGATGAAGACATCCTTACGGAGGTCGAAACTGAAGGCTTTCTAGTAGATTTGGAAGAGATCATGGGAAGAGTAAAAAGAGAAACTTCTTTTCTGAAACCCTCATCTGTGCCTGCCTTGGAGGAACACTCTACAACGACACACAGTGAAGACAGCAAAGGCCCTACAAGCAAGCCCCATTTTAGGAAGAGCACATCCTCTGTTACCTCCAGTATTTTGTTCCCTGATACAGAGGGCAGTGGATCAGGAATGAGTGAGACAGTTTTTGAAGTTCCTAAGCCTAGTCAATTCACAATGACGGCAATTTCGTCAGAGGCAGCTGAGGGTACATCCATGCAAAACAACAATAAGGAGAAAATAAAAGATGCAAAAGGCCGAAAGTTGGATGCCAGTCCTGTAGGTAAATATCCTTAAAAATCCTGACCCTTATATACTGGATATTGTTAGGGTTGGCTGTGGATCATAAAGGCTAACATAGCTGTCAGTGAGACAACTGTGTAGAAGACATGTGCCTGGTTTCTATGGAAGCCTTCCACTTAAAAAAAAAAAAGAAAAATCCAACTTCCTATCACACAATGATGTTTCTCATAAATCTGACTTTATATTTTACAGTTTGACTTCGTATGTCACAATATGACTATACTTCAACTTAATCTTAAAATTACCTTTTTTTAGTCTAAGCCAAAAACTTGCTTCCATAAGATAGTTGATGATAGTTACACAAATAAGCTATGTTTTAATTAATATTAATGTTTAATATAATCAGTGATGGGAAGGTTGCATTGGAAATGTAATAGTTCACAGATTAGTTAAGATTCCTGTAGGTAAATATCCTTAAAAATCCTGACCCTTATATACTGGATATTGTTAGGGTTGGCTGTGGATCATAAAGGCTAACATAGCTGTCAGTGAGACAACTGTGTAGAAGACATGTGCCTGGTTTCTATGGAAGCCTTCCACTTCAAAAAAAAAAAGAAAAATCCAACTTCCTATCACACAATGATGTTTCTCATAAATCTGACTTTATATTTTACAGTTTGACTTCATATGTCACAATATGACTATAATTCAACTTAATCTTAAAATTACCTTTTTTTAGTCTAAGCCAAAAACTTGCTTCCATAAGATAGTTGATGATAGTTACACAAATAAGCTATGTTTTAATTAATATTAATGTTTAATATAATCAGTGATGGGAAGGTTGCATTGGAAATGTAATAGGTCACAGATTAGTTAAGATAGAGTCGAAATATTTGAATGCAAAGCTTCCATGAAGAAAGCAGTTGCTAGAAAATGGCAAGTTCAAACTAGACAGACATTTAAGGGATACGGTGCAGTCATACCACTTATTACACAACATTTCACCACATAAATAACTAAGGTGATAAAAGATCCTAGACAGCAACATAGTGTTGGCCCAGATCCGGCCCACGTGAAATCCATGAAATCCATCCAAATATATATTTAAGTTGAAACTGTTTTAAAAACTTACCAGTTTGTTAGTTATCTTATAATCCATTACAGTGTACAAAACAATCATTGCAAAATGGCAGCAGCTGTGGTTGTATGAAACGAGAGAGCGAGTCGGTGATACCAGGATGACAGTATTAAATAATTGTATACAAAATACTGAATTGAGTTTTAATGCTTTATTAGTTAACCAAACGCAAAACTTCCACCAAGAAAAACTGGTGCTAGTAAGCATATAGCGCTGATTTAAGTTACCCGGATGAGCCTCTGCTATTAGCTTTTACCGGTTGTTACTGGGGAATAACATAACTTGGAATGCCATGACTGACCAATCAGAATCAAGCATTTCACAGAGCCGTGCAATAGTTTAATTTAAAGCACAGCCACCACAAAATCAGGCTTTAGCACCTCTTTTTTACTTTTAGAATAAATACAGAGAAATAACAAGAAATAGTTATGATACTGGTTTTGAAATCAAATATTTGCATAGTTTTGACAGAAAACACAGGCATCTAACAATGCCTCGGAAAAACAGTCAACAATTAATCTTAAAAAATAAAGCATATACATAAACCCAAATAGGAAATAAAACAGTTATCGAATAAGCACGTTTCCTATTCTGTGTCCTAAACTCCTGAAACATTGGTGTCTCATATTTTAGAGCAGTCGATGCAATTTATGAAAGAAGTGAATTAAATCGGTATGTGGTTGTGTGTGTGAAAAAATTCAGATGTAACCCCCTTTGTAATCGTTAACATTTTCATAAGTAACCTTAATTTAATTACACATCTTTTCCCCAGTATAACTGTAACTAATCACAATTACATTTATTTTGTAATTAAATGACGTAACTCTGTTACATGTAACAAGTTACTCCCCAACACTGAGTATCATCATTTGTTTAATCTGTTAATGCAATTTTTTATGTTAATGCATAATACAGTATGTTAAGTCATCAAGTCTAATTACAAATGTATATTTTGCAGACATACCGAATAGCGAAGAATCCAATTTACCTCCATCACCTATTCAAAAGGATGATGGACCATCTAGTAAGTTCTTGTGACAGCACTGCTGATGCCATCAGTTTCTTGACTTTTCATTCAACTGACATAATGTAAATCTGTCAATTTACCATTTTTTCCCTTCTACAGCTTGGCTGATAATCTTTGCATTCTGTGTTGTTGTTGGAGCCATAGTATGCATGCTTGCTGCAATTGCTACAAGAGACAAGTAAGTTTGCTTATTTTTTTAATTATGATTATTTTTTTCATCGAGTGAATCCATCGCATTCATCAGCCATTGGGGTCCAGCTTCAGTTTACTGAATGTAACACTTTACCTAGGTGGTACGGACCGAGACAGAGCAGAAACATCACAACTGAAGCGCACAACAAAGACTACAGTAAAACAGAAACACTGCCACTGTCAGAGAAAGAGCAGGAGGTAGTGGCACTGAAGAGTGTTGCGAAGCTGAATGGTAAAACGGATGACATTACTGCTACCTGTCTGGATGAGCATGAGAAAGAGTATTTAATGTAATGTTTTAAATCCTGCATACTGTGTATTAACAGGTTTGAACTCTTCTGTACTTTTGCACTAGTGATGTTTTTTTTCTGCTCAGAGTCGCTTCCATTTTTGTTGCTTCAGAAAAAAAAAAAAAAAAAAGATTATTGTGTTTCACATTCCTTTTCTAATGTAAAGTATTATTTTTTTCTCCAATAATAGAAAATGCTTATTATCTCTTAATGACTGATGGTTAATAATGATATGGTGAGAAAACATTTGTATACTGGTTTGTAAGTACTATGTACTGTGTGGGATATAATGCATTTTTTAATATAAAGTTTTAATTTGAATAGAGAAACCCTATGCAGTTTGTAATGCAATGAAGCAAATGTAAATCTTTCCATTTATTAAATTACCCATAAAGATGTATTTTTTTGTCAGCTCTTAGAGCACATTTATGTTGGATGAGTCTTTCAATAAAACATGAAATTTGAACAAGGTATTGGATTTTTTATTATTATTATTTTTTATTTGTTCATTTAGAGTAGCTGGATGTAAAAATGCATGAGTGAGATGTAAAATCATATGATAAATATCATTTAATGTTGTCATTACTACATTTTATTTGTTATTTTTTCATTTATTTAGCATTACTTCCTAAAGACTTGGAAAAAGAAAGAAAGAAAGAAAGAAAGAAAGAAAGACCACTGAGACAAGAAGAATTGCCTTTATTTACAATTTGTTACAGGTGTTTCATAGAAAAATAGAAGAAAAAGACAAATTTAAAAAGTGGATGCAAAATCAAGTCTGGTTGACAAGTAATACAATGTCTTTGGAACCAAACAGGGCTGCACAAATAAAAAGAGCAGGATGGTCATATGATATTTGTTAACATACATCACTGTACCTCTAAAGATGTGTCAGGCCCTGCCACACTTTTACATTATAGATACTGTATCTAGGTTGTGTATCATTTCCTCAAGATACATACTCAAGATCTCTGCACTCTACAAGGCTGTTAAATCTGTAGCAAGCCTGGTTTATAATGATTAGCAATTTGACTTTTTCCCCTAGTGTCATTATTCCTACCAAAATGTTTAACAATACACAATATTTGAGACACGATATCATCATGAATTGTAACAGTGAAAAATATGCTTACATTCATATACATACATTTTTACTCATCAGGCAATGTTTCACAGCCACCTGTTCCATGTGACTTGTACAGTATATGATAGCAATAACTACTTAAGACAACCTGTTACGCTCTAATCTACTTAGTAAAATACTGAATTTAATACATGTTTTATAAAGCAATAGGCAAAAAGTTAATAAATACTACTCTTTAATTTGCATGAAAAATACATCTAAAATATGACAGCATACATATGTGTATTTATATATATATGTACAGAAAGTGCAAGGAGGCACTTTAATGAGAACATTTTAAGATTCTGGTGCAAAAGAGGAATGCTGATCGTGTTGCTATTACAGACTACCAATCTCAATTCTGTCATCTCTTTTCTGTTACATGCTAACAACCTGAGCACCAAATAACCTGAGGGCCTCTCTTATCAGCGTGAATATAGAATCCATTCAACTGGACTTAATATCTGAGTATCCAAGAAGGCTCCTCAGAGAATCAAACACAATTAGTGGTCTAAGATCCAAGAAAATGGGATTGCATTTAATATTAATGTCATAAAGTCTTCTGTCTGCAATTTGCAGTTGATATCTTCAAGGCAAGATTGTAACTTAGCAAATAAATACATAAATAAATTGACAACTTAACAAAGCACACAGATACTTACAAAACCTACACACATGCAAGTCCCTTTCCTCAAACATAACCACACATGGAGACTTATTAATGTTTGAATGCAAACTATTCAGTCCACTACGCAGGATATTAACAGTCCTTGCAGATAACGTCAAGCGACTCAATGTCATACTTCATGTCTGATCGCTCTGTAATTGCTGATGTGGCATTTACGTCGGGCAGCGTCTAAAAATAAGTGGCAGCATTTGGAGGCAAACCACTATTTCAGAACTTCTAAGTACATTGGTAAGCTCTTATAAGAGGCTGATCTGGAGTACTGCCACCAAGGGTTAATCCACCTAAGCCAAGCCAGTCAAAGGTATCTTCAGCAAACAAGCTGCACTTCTCTCCTCCTGCCACTAGTAGTGCTCTAGGGTCAATCTGGGGCTGGACAAACCACTGCGATCCTTCTATGCGGTAGCCTTAAGGCAGCAGGTGTCAGACTGATCCTCAAACCCAAGGCCTAGAATTCTAACTATCGTAATCCTTGAGTGTAAATAATATGCAGCCTGACTGAACCACCTGCTACTTCGAGCTACGTTCTCTTCCCTTTGTGTATCAAAAGTACTGAGATTGTCATACAAAAGTCATTGCTTGTGCATATGAAACGTTCTTTGGTAACTTCTGACTGTTTATATGTACAAAATTAGCATTTGGTTTTCACCAGAAAGAATAAGCTCGCGGGACTCAGGATAAGGCGGAGCTGGACCTGTGTGCTGTGTTACTCGCGTATCCATGGTTCCTCCTCAACAAGTGAGAAGTCCGCAGGGGAGCCATTTGAGGCCAAGGTTACCTGAAAGCAATTATCAGGGACAACTAACTGTTTGACCAAAGGCACAGTCAAAATGCATTAACCGCTGCTAACTGTTTATGGTTTGGAGCAGACTGGACAAACCACTGCGATCCTTCTATGCGGTAGCCTTAAGGCAGCAGGTGTCAGACTGATCCTCAAACCCAAGGCCTAGAATTCTAACTATCGTAATCCTTGAGTGTAAATAATATGCAGCCTGACTGAACCACCTGCTACTTCGAGCTACGTTCTCTTCCCTTTGTGTATCAAAAGTACTGAGATTGTCATACAAAAGTCATTGCTTGTGCATATGAAACGTTCTTTGGTAACTTCTGACTGTTTATATGTACAAAATTAGCATTTGGTTTTCACCAGAAAGAATAAGCTTGCGGGACTCAGGATAAGGCGGAGCTGGACCTGTGTGCTGTGTTACTCGCGTATCCATGATTCCTCCTCAACAAGTGAGAAGTCCGCAGGGGAGCCATTTGAGGCCAAGGTTACCTGAAAGCAATTATCAGGGACAACTAACTGTTTGACCAAAGGCACAGTCAAAATGCATTAACCGCTGCTAACTGTTTATGGTTTGGAGCAGAGAATCCAGGTAGTTTGATATTTTAACAGCATAATTTATATCAAAATTCACAGAAATGTACCCACCACAAGACAGATAATAATTAGCTGCAGCGGGATTCCTTACAGAATGCTGAAAGACTGAATACAGATAGAGAAAATAATTTGAATTGTTATATTTTGTAAATACAAGCGTTGTATTTATTTATTTTTTTTACTAATTACAGTGAATCTCTGCCCAAAGCTAATATTCTAAAGGGGTTGTGGAAAAAATGCCACGCGTGCTACCACACAGACCTATGCATTTGTGAAACACAGGGCATAACACTAAAAAAGAGGCATAAAATTTACAAAAAAGAAAGAAAACAACTGCAGTTCTCTTACTGATGGAAAACAAACACTTTTATGTCAAGCTTAAAAACACTAAGCTTGAAAGAAATTCAATAGCAGTCTTTGTCGTCTCAAAATGTAGATGGCAAAAATGAGGTGTGCCTTAATGCACAGCTTTGTTTCACTTTCATTTTTTTCATTCGAGAACAGCCAAAGGCATCTTGGCATTAGTACTATACAAACATTTGAAGGATTTACTGTGCACATATGTATAATTGCCAAATTGATGATGTACAGATACTGATATGGATATACAAAGTCTGTATGAATACAGATAGAGAAAATAATTTGAATTGTTATATTTTGTAAATACAAGCGTTGTATTTATTTATTTTTTTTACTAATTACAGTGAATCTCTGCCCAAAGCTAATATTCTAAAGGGGTTGTGGAAAAAATGCCACGCGTGCTACCACACAGACCTATGCATTTGTGAAACACAGGGCATAACACTAAAAAAGAGGCATAAAATTTACAAAAAAGAAAGAAAACAACTGCAGTTCTCTTACTGATGGAAAACAAACACTTTTATGTCAAGCTTAAAAACACTAAGCTTGAAAGAAATTCAATAGCAGTCTTTGTCGTCTCAAAATGTAGATGGCAAAAATGAGGTGTGCCTTAATGCACAGCTTTGTTTCACTTTAATTTTTTTCATTCGAGAACAGCCAAAGGCATCTTGGCATTAGTACTATACAAACATTTGAAGGATTTACTGTGCACATATGTATAATTGCCAAATTGATGATGTACAGATACTGATATGGATATACAAAGTGTGTTCAAAAACTGCTATTTCACCAAGCACCAGAACAAATAAATAAACCATATTTATTTATTCCTTCATTCTGTTTAACGTCTTATGCATTCACATCAGGAATGACCAAAAAATACAAAAAGTGTAAAATAAAAAAAATCACAATGGTACATACAATGTCGGGGAAAGAAATAAAAGCATCTACATACAGGTTTCTATGTCTGTGAGAGTAAAATGTACCTTGCAGTCATCTATTTGGACCGGCTGATAGGAGTTGTGAGATGCATATACACCATGGTTAGTGTTATTTTCAAAAAAGGATTGTGTCTTGGCCATCTCAAAGTCATCTGGCCTTATCTGCTGTGCATCAAACATGTCAAGCTCATCTTTGGAGAGGTGGTACACGATTCCAGCCCCGTACGAGTCACCAACGACATTGACTGATGTTCGAAAACGGTCCCTGTTTGATAAAGCAGAAAGAAGCAAAGAAAGGTGCCACATCTCTCAAGGCTAAACAAATCTAAATGCCATAAGGATTTGTTCTAACATGCAAAGCAAATGGATAAACATGCCATGAGATTTACTTTAACAACTAATTTTAAAGTGGAGATCATTTACATATCATATCTCAATCATATAATATAGCCCTCCAGGATCAAGTTCTATTCCGTTCATCTGGGCAATAAAGATGGCTGCTACGGCCTCATAAAGCGCTGTACCATCCATGTTGATCGTTGCTCCAACAGGCAACACAAATCGAGTCACTCTCTTGTCAATGCCCAGATTTTCCTCCAGACAGCGGAAAGTAACAGGTAATGTCCCAGCACTGCAAAAGACATATTAAGATTTCAGAAATTCTTGTCATTATTCATAACTCAACTTCCGAACAAGCCAAATTAAATCATTGCCTTCCCTTTATTTAACTCAGTATGTGTCCTAATTCTCTCAAGGTTTACAAAAATCAAGGTACAATTATTGTTGTTTGTCAATGCCCAGATTTTCCTCCAGACAGCGGAAAGTAACAGGTAATGTCCCAGCACTGCAAAAGACACATATTAAGATTTCAGAAATTCTTGTCATTATTCATAACTCAACTTCCGAACAAGCCAAATTAAATCATTGCCTTCCCTTTATTTAACTCAGTATGTGTCCTAATTCTCTCAAGGTTTACAAAAATCAAGGTACAATTATTGTTGTTGGACATGTTCTGCTGATGAGGTGCTGAAACTGATCCACCCTAAATTTGAAAGGCATGCTTTTTTTTATCTTATACTGGATTACAAAGAAAATGGTTGAAAGGACAAACAATGGTTTAATCATTACAAAATTACTATTTCTGTAGTTATCCCACAGCTATAACACTGTGGTTATAACTTTGACTCTGAGGTCATTGCAGGTGTTATTTCTGCATCTGATTTTTATTTATTTTATTTATTTCGTCTCTATTTGCTCCTCTGTTTCTGTCACTAGGAATTACACAAGCTTCAGTCTGGATCCAACCTTTACAAAGATCTGAGATGACCGAACACCTGAGAAGAGATGATGCCAACTCCCCAGAGGACCTCAGATGATGCTAACCCTGGAACAACATATAAAACTACCAAATTTCGCAAAGTTTAATCGCAACATATAATCATTGCAGTTAATATGTTCACCATCTGTTTGATTACGTGTAATATGTAACTAACTGCATGATTCTTACTGTACATTTCTGCCATAGCCACCACTAATAACTTACTACTAAATATAATGTAGAAACTTAAAGGGGTCATATGATGCGATTTCAATTTTTTCTTTCTCTTTGAAGTGTTACAAGCTCTCCGTGCATAAAGAAGATCTGTAAAGTTGCAAAGACTAAAGTCTCAAATTCAATGAGATATTCTTTATAAAAGTTAAGAGTCAACCATGCCTACCTAAAACGGCTCGTTCTAACACGCCCCCAGATGTCTACATCACGATGTGGGAAGATTTGCATAACGCCGCCCAAATGTTCACGCAAAGAAAGAAGGTGTAACTTTTATTCTCGCTGTAGTATTGTTGTTGCTGCCATGTCCTGAAGACGCTGTGTGTTTCATTGTGAAAGCGAAACTTCTTTGTTTGGCCCTCCAAAAGAGGACGATATCTGCTTCGTTAAGTAACAGATTCTTCATGATTTTGTCACAGAAGCCTCTACACATGGACTCTTCAGGTGGTGGAAGAGGGTCCAGATGATTCCCATGCATTCTGATCTCCACTTGCTTCTGCATATTGTTGGCACTGGTGGATAGAAGAAGTGCAGCATACAGTAAAGTATGTCAATATAAATGATCTAATCAAGGAACACAATCAGTACTAGTTATGTTTGTCATTTCACATCCTTTCAGAAAATACCACTTTATGAAAAATTCATTCATTCATGTCATAAATGCAAATCGTTGTTGGTGTCAAGATTGTGACCAAGATATGTTTGTGCATGATATGCTGAAAATGCAATGACACTGAATGACAATGCTGTGCAATTCTTGCATTTACATCTAAAGTTTTTATCTGTATGTTTTGCACAGATGCAATCGAAGTCTGTGAACCACAGAGTGGAATGCAAATACACATTTCAAACTGAACAAAATGTGCAAAAAGACGTTTGTTTTGGCTTCTGAGTACCTGTACAGGTATATTTGATATAAAACCGTAACCACAAGGTAAAACGCACCATGACACATATTTTGTACAATGACTTTGGTGGATTTCTTTAAATATTGCACCAAAATATCCAACTAGTTTCATTGTAATGGTTTTTCCTGATCTTATGGAAGTCTAGGGACAGTCAAAAATGTGTACAGATCACATCAGCAGTACTGGGAATGTGTTTTCTGGGAATACCATAACTTTAACATGCCTGTGATTGTTTCTTTACTATAATTTTCCAGCTGTATACCAACTACTACAGGCGTTCATGTCGTGTCACATGTCACGAGAGTTGTTTAGCTTTACTGTGGTCTGGATTAAAAGGTTCTTAAAAGTCTTGTTTTTTTTGAACCAGCACTATCCAATAATCATTACCTGTATGGAAAAAATAAAGGCAACTCAAAGAAAAACTATTACTGTACATGCAACAAAAACAACTACCAACAAAATACTCAGGAAATCAACACAATGATAGATCCTTTAGTGTTTGTGTACATTGTGAACTCTCAGAGTAGCTGCATTCAGGCTCATCTGAACAAGATTAAAAAGCTGAATGATGCCAAGGAAATCAGAGACTGTCTGATACACACAGCTCCAGTCCTAATGAGATGATAACCTGCTAACTGGTTAATTTTAGCCACTGAGCACAGCAGCAATTGTGTTGCACAATATTTGAGAGCATGTAGGAAAAGTCAAGGTGCGAATGAGTGTTTTGGTTTCAAATGGTTATTAATAGCAAATAATAGCATTTGACTCATTTAAATGATGCAAAACAAGCCCAAAAAATTTGATCTCTAATTATTGATTCTGATAATTGGTTGTCCTTTTATGTAAAAACAATTGAATCTCATTAGTGACTACATTAGCTCCATATCACTGACATGAAGTCTGAGGTGAGCGACAAGAGCTTGTCTGCAGATTAAGTGCTTGTCCTTTTAGAAATCAGTTAATTTAAGGCAATTAATTAGGTGAAGCAACAATATTAAATGCATATATTGCACATGCATTTCCTACAGACTTTGTTGACATTTCATTTTGGTTTGCTGCAAATACCTACAGAGTCCTATAAATTTAAGCAAAATGCTAGCTTTGCAGACTAAATGTAATGATAAAGCTTAAAATATTCTTCGGGCTATTCAAAAGTTGCTAAATGAAAATACGGATATGCAAGAAGATCCTGAGAGGCTTTTTATCACCAATCTTACCTGTTGTAGTGCAGATACTGAAAAGGAAGAGTTTCACAGCAGTTTGCTAGACAGCCATGGGCTATAGAAATGGCTCTGAATGAAACGCTGTCAATCTACAGTTTATCCATCAGGAAATCCGGTCCAGGTCATTAGAAATGTCAGTCAAAACTCCAAGCACCAGGTGAACAGCAGTATAATAAGTGATTGCTCTGATGCAATCAGAAACACTTCCTTGCAAGATCAATCAAATTGACGCATAGGAGATTCTATGCACAATCCTCTGTCTTTGAATTGATCTCATCCCACCATTAGTACTAGAGAAATGGGCGAAGAGGTGCTGCTAATGGCTCCGTGGGGCAACACGGAGGAGGAGTCTAGCACCCAGATTATGTGTAAGTACCAGCTAATATGCTTGAGACTCCTCGTCCTCTCTCTCTCATTGTTTCACCTCCTCCATCTCACTCCCAAGGTCTGATCTTTTCTAATGAGCTCTGAAATGAATGAATGGAATCAAAGAGTGATACATGTCAGAAATACAGATTCAGGCGAGCTGTCAATCTATAACTTTAACGCAAAACGGGTTCAAAAGTTTGTGAATGAGACCCCAACTCTAATAACAGAACAAGATCATTAGTTGTACAGTACTGTATATGTGGTTTTTTGCATGCTGTATATGAACAGTGCAAATGCATGTTATACATTTATATAGACTACTTGTTTCTTTCTATGGCCTAAACATTGTATTATTTAAGGGAAACACAATCTTGACCTGTGATGACCATTCATTTGCATATGCAGACTCTGGCCTAACATGACAGAAATAGGCACGGGTTTCTCATCACCTCTAAGCAGGGGCGTGTCTAGAGCATTTTAAATGGGGGGGCCAGTCGGGGGCACTGGCTCAAAAGAGGGTTGCCTTGGGAGGGGGGTTCTGTTTGCGGAACTAAACAAGTGAGAGTGGAGAGATTCGTCCTCGCGCGAGCCTATCGCAAGACATCTGGTGGGGGGGCACCTGAAGAGATTCGTCCTCGCGTGAGCCTATCGCAAGACGTCTGGTAGGGGGGGCACCTGGGGTGGCCAGCCAAATTTCAGGGGGGGGCCGGTGCCACCCCTGGCCACCACGTAGACATGCCCCTGCCTCTAAGCACAGACACGAACAGATCAAACAATTAGTGCATGAGAACAGTGGCCTTCTTCGAGAGCCTCTTTTAATGACATGAAAACCCAAACTTCTGCTTACTTATAAATGTTCTTAAAATAAATATTCAGAGTGAACACTGTAAAAACCGATCGAAATTTAACCTATAAAAGACTGTAAAAATTCCACAGTAAAAATCTGTTATTCATCATGAAGCTTTCTATTCCATCTATGGTACACTGCAAAGAGGATTTTAAAGAAAATATTATTTCAGTCTTTCTACTTCAAAATTTCACACTTAATTCAGTGTTACTTGCCGTTTCTTTGTAATTAATTGAGACAATTACTATCAATCTCTAAATTGCTAGTAACTGGTAACACTTTAGTATAGGGACCAATTTTCACTTTGACTAGTTGCTTATTAGCATGCCTATTATGATGGCTGATTATTAGTACTTATAAAGCACATATTCTGCATGACCATATTCTATATCCCTATACCTAAACTTAACAACTATCTTACTAACTATTAATAAGCAGCAAATTAGAAGTTTATTGAGTGAGTTTATTTAATGGTGAGACTTAGACCTTAAAATAATGTGTGAATATTTATTTGTATTTTTTCAGTGTATTATGGTGGTCGTCTATATATAT